TTCGTTGCATAATTCTTGGAATTGGTCCCAGTTGGCGTTTTTGTACTGAAATTTAGGTTCCTGTTTAGGGGTTTGATTTGGTATTTTTATATTTCCTAGGGAAACATGTAAGAGTAGCGACTATAAATACACTTGGAAGAGCATTGTTTCTGAGAAATATAGAACATTATCTTTGCAACATTGACCAAAGTGAGTTAGTGAGATGTGTTTTCTGCAGCTATGGACATTATTTCAGCTATGTCATGGTGTGCTAGATTAAAAGGGGCAAAAAAGAACAAAGGGAAGCAGATCCTAGACGTAGATCACTTCGTCGACCCCAACAAGCCCGTGATTGGTACAAACACGTGTTCATATAACCAGGGCAGATCTGGTGGAGTATCCCACAACACGGGATGATGGCGCCTGCCTAATGTATGCAACTCTGCCTTGGGAATGTCAGCGCCTGCGACAACTGACCACCTGTGCCCCTGTGAGCAAATATTAAACAAAAGGCTTTGATGTTGTTATCTCAAGAATTCTAAGATGTTGATTTGATGAAAACAAGTTACAATTTCCAATCAGAATGATCATGATGAAATCATTATGATGCCTGGCACACTCCTTAGATGTTAAACGCTCTCCATTGTCCTTTAGGTGAAGAAGTAGAAAGGTAAATGGAAGTTGACGGCAATGTCCGTTCACATGGACCTCTCGTCCTAGTCACCTTAAAGTGTTATACTTTCCAGACTGTATAAAGTAACTATTGTATCTAGCATATCGATAACTACAAAAACATTATTCACTGTAATTTTGTAATATCACTGTACACTGGAGCAAAGAGATAAAAAGATTCACACACACAGGAGCCTGTACTAGTCAAAGAATGCAAGCGGGAAGTCACACTGGTAAGATATATGATTGACATATGATTGACATGTGACTGACATATGATTGACATATGATTGATAATTGTTTGATTGAAATACTCACCAAATGTATCACAATATGTTGGTGAATAAACCTAGTGACATAAACTCAGAACTCAGCATTCAATGGTCAAACTTCAAGTGGGTAGCTCTTTATATTGTACTTGCCAGGAATGTGAAATACATGTCTTGTGAGTAACTTAACTAAGCAGTGGAGGACATATGTTGTAGCACAAGCCTGCAGTAGTGGAGTACATTGAATAACACAGGCCTAGAAAATCACACAAAATGTGCGCTGGTTCTGTTTTGTAAATAGAATGCAACTTCAGCTGTCTGTCAGAAGGAACAACATACCACCAATACCATGCCAGTTGTGCTGTAACTACGGTTTGTCTCAATACCATGCCAGTTGTGCTGTAACTATGGTTTGTCTCAATACGATGCCAGTTGTGCTGTAACTATGGTTTGTCTCAATATGATGCCAGTTGTGCTGTAACTGAGGTTTGTCTCAATACGAAGCCAGTTGTGCTGTAACTACGGTTTGTCTCAATACCATGCCAGTTGTGCTGTAACTACGGTTTGTCTCAATACCATGCCAGTTGTGCTGTAACTACGGTTTGTCTCAATACCATGCCAGTTGTGCTGTAACTACTGTTTGTCTCAATACCATGCCAGTTCTGCTGTAACTACGGTTTGTCTCAATACGAAGCCAGTTGTGCTGTAACTACGGTTTGTCTCAATACCATGGCAGTTGTGCTGTAACCACGGTTTGTCTCAATACCATGCCAGTTGTGCTGTAACTACGGTTTGTCTCAATACCATGCCAGTTGTGCTGTAACTACGGTTTGTCTCAATACCATGGCAGTTGTGCTGTAACCACGGTTTGTCTCAATACGAAGCCAGTTGTGCTGTAACTACGGTTTGTCTCAATACCATGGCAGTTGTGCTGTAACCACGGTTTGTCTCAATACCATGCCAGTTCTGCTGTAACTACGGTTTGTCTCAATACGAAGCCAGTTGTGCTGTAACTACGGTTTGTCTCAATACCATGCCAGTTCTGCTGTAACTACGGTTTGTCTCAATACGAAGCCAGTTGTGCTGTAACTACGGTTTGTCTCAATACGAAGCCAGTTGTTCTGTAACTACGGTTTGTCTCAATACCATGGCAGTTGTGCTGTAACTACAGTTTGTCTCAATACGAAGCCAGTTGTGCTGTAACTACGGTTTGTCTCAATACGAAGCCAGTTGTGCTGTAACTACAGTTTGTCTCAATACCATGCCAGTTGTGCTGTAACTAAGGTTTGTCTCAATACCATGGCAGTTGTGCTGTAACTACGGTTTGTCTCAATACCATGCCAGTTGTGCTGTAACTAAGGTTTGTCTCAATACGAAGCCAGTTGTGCTGTAACTACGGTTTGTCTCAATACGAAGCCAGTTGTGCTGTAACTACGGTTTGTCTCAATACCATGCCAGTTGTGCTGTAACTACGGTTTGTCTCAATACCATGCCAGTTGTGCTGTAACTACGGTTTGTATCAATACCATGCCAGTTGTGCTGTAACTATGGTTTGTCTCAATACGAAGCCAGTTGTGCTGTAACTACGGTTTGTCTCAATACCATGCCAGTTGTGCTGTAACTACGGTTTGTCTCAATACCATGCCAGTTGTGCTGTAACCACGGTTTGTCTCAATACGAAGCCAGTTGTGCTGTAACTACGGTTTGTCTCAATACGAAGCCAGTTGTGCTGTAACTACAGTTTGTCTCAATACGAAGCCAGTTGTGCTGTAACTACGGTTTGTCTCAATATGACGCCAGTTGTGCTGTAACTACGGTTTGTTACAATACGAAGTCAGTTGTGCTGTAACTACGGTTTGTCTCAATATGACGCCAGTTGCGCTGTAACTACGGTTTGTCTCAATACCATGCCAGTTGTGCTGTAACTATGGTTTGTCTCAATACGAAGCCAGTTGTGCTGTAACTACGGTTTGTCTCAATACCATGCCAGTTGTGCTGTAACTACAGTTTGTCTCAATACGAAGCCAGTTGTGCTGTAACTGCGGTTTGTCTCAATACGATGCCAGTTGTGCTGTAACTACAGTTGTCTCAATACGATGCCAGTTGTGCTGTAACTACGGTTTGTCTCAAGTGGGCCATGTCATTATAAAACATGGGAAACTATCATAAGCTGACTTTCCCTAGTTCATATTTCAGCTTTAACCAGGGATAGCAGCTGAGAGGAACTCATCAAATCCCTTGTACTTGAGAATTGTTGAGTTTAATCACCAACTGTCTACATAGCACCTGTACATGTCTTCACTTGCCATTTCCAGTATGTGCTCACTGAAATCTTTTTCCCTGGCTATATATTTTACTCTTCTGCACTTCATACCAATATATGTGTCACCCTTTTAACTCTGTCTACTGTAAACCATGAAATTAATGTGAAAAATGTGAGTTGTCTGGTCATATTGTCCCTGCAGTTCACCGCACATGGTTATACTGGAAACAACAGTTGAAGGAAACTCTCATCTCTTAGTCTGCACGTTTAGTGCGTGAAATATCAGTGTTTTAGTCTTTAGATAATTAGTTGGATACCAATAGCACTGGGTGCTGGCTTCCATTGAAATGAGATGGGATATCACTGGAAATTAATAATTGTTATGTTGTAGTAGTTTTGTTGTAACAGGTAATAAAATGTTGATTGTAAGTGGCAGAAAACTGATTGAAGCACTCATACAATATCAAGTTGTGGTAGTGAAGCTATTAATTTGAGTCAACTCCTTTAGTTGTGGTTGTTAGTGCAAACTGCCTCCCAGCGCTTGACCCCTTTGTTACCCTCCCAGTAAAGAGAGCGCCGCTGGCGGTACTTGTTAACAGTTGTCAATTCATTGCATGATTTGATACGCTTTGATGTAGTTTCTAACCTACCTGTGCCTGTATACAAGCGAGACAAGGGTTGTTCGAGGCTTGCCTCTATGACAACATGAGACAGGATACCTATCAGACAACAGCAGCTTTTCTACCTCCTTCCAACACTGGATCCAAGAACGTAGCAAATGCCTCATTCAAGATATTCAACAGTGCCAAATTCTGAACATTCGTGTTGGTATTAGGGTCTGATGTATTCTGCTGCTGCCACACATTTGACCCACTGTAGTGTCTTTAATGACTGGAAGCCTAATCCTGAGTGTTTCAATATAATTCGTTCGTACAAATTGATTTCTGGATTTATCTTCGCGTTTTAATTTGGAAATCAACACATAACATCATTCATAACCTTCAATACACCAATGTATTCCACACAAAAGCCAGGAACACTTGCGGCGCTTACTAATGTGATGGTGACTTTCATCTCAGAAAAATCTTTTAGTACAGATTTATTTTTTAGAAACATTTTCACATAAAAAGACAAGAGATGGATGAAATTCAATGAGGTGATTTGTATGGAAGGATAATGTGAGTGAATGTCAAATGTCAGTCAGCCTTATTTCAGCTACATCCCAGCAGCCATGGATTAATGGAGCCTGCCTGGGACAAATCACTGCTTGATAGCATGATCAATTATTCATGGATTGCTGGAAAATTGCTTGGAATTGCTACGGAGACATGGAAATAAGCGCCAAGCTACAACTCAGATACATGTCAATATGCCGGTATACAATGGCATCACAGTCAAGTATTCAAAGACAAGCTCATATTGGGGTTATTAGTAGCTGTGGTAACCGTATCTGTGCTGCTTCCTAGGAACAATTATTATTTTGACTTGTGTTATACAGAGCTATGGCTGTCCCATAATGTCTTCCAAATCCCTCTTCCCTCTTGATGATTCCAGCCCAAGATGTACATAGAAAGTTGCATGATCGAAAATATAAGTACACATATTTGAGAGTGAGCATTTTAAGAAGCAAATCGATATGCAGTTTCTGTGGGATTACGATGCATATACTTAATGTTATGTTCCAAATCAGGAATCAACTCGGGAAACATAACAGAACAGTCCGTAGGTTTGTGTAGCGACAAGTCAGTATCAAAATCGTTTATAGGGAGCAGCATGGAGATATGGTTACTGAAGCTGTGGTTATCAGCTATTCTCACTTGATGCTTGTTCCAAGCTGGTATAGTCATCTTGAAAATAAAATAAATAATAAAGTCTCATGAAAAATGCCCTATCAATGGTTGGTAGTTTCAACATCACTGCCTTTCCCTGGCTATTTAAGATCCATGTTCGTATTCATTTCAATCCAGTCTACACAAAATTTTCAATAATTGGTGTATGCAGGGTGAGTGAGTGGGTTGGATGCTGTAGTGGGATACCACAGGATTAGACTGACATCACAAAGAGATCAGGGGGAGGTGTCACTGATTCAACATGATTCCACTGGAATGGGGCTGACTGGTCAAAAAGGGTTGGAATCAGTTTGGATGAGGGTCGGGTGTGACCTGGAAGGAGTGGGGTACTGACCAAATATGTAGATCTCTCTGAGACCATGACCCTGCCAGAGTTTCCATGCATGTTAATACAATACATACAGGAATAGTAACAACTTCTTCATGTAATTACAATAGAACAATGGGTCCATACAAATAATTAATATTCATGATGCTTACAAAATTGATGGTTTACTTAGTCTTTTATCAGAAAAAGATGGTGTCTGAAATTTTTTAGAGAGCTATTTCTATGACAAACAAACAAGATTTTAGCAAATTAATTGAGCTATGATGTGAGTGAATTTCTCACACCAGTCAGCAATACTACGCCTGTAGCCTGTAGTTAATAGAGCCTGGACCAGACAAACCAGTGGTCAATAGCAGGAGCAATTATCCGTGGTGTGCCGGGAAAAACATAAAGATGAGGCCCTGGAATTCCCAAGGAGACATTTACATAGAATTAAGTAGGTATACAATAGCTGGATGAAGCTATTTCCCTGGTTCAAGCATGAGGGTCAGGTATGCAAGGTTAAAATCATTCTCACTTGCTGCTTGTTCCAAGCTTGTGTACTCGTCTTGAAAACAAAGCAATGGTTAATTGCCCTGTTACTGTTTTCGGTATTGTTCTCATTCCAACATCTCCTAGATACTAACTGTTGTGTTATATATTTATTTCTAGCAAGTCCATATTACAAAAGTGGCCATGTTCCTACAGGGTGAGTGACTTACCGTATTCGACGTAATAAGCGCCCCACTCAAATAAGTGCCCACGGCGATATTTGCCAATATATTGGCTAGTGAACAATCCCAATTAGCACCCTTCCGACTGATCAATGTACACAATTCGTGTGCATTTATTTGTGTATAATACCCACTTGTGTGTTATATGCACCCTTAATTACAGGCAATTAAATTCTGGAAAAATATATCTGTCGTGTATATTATGCACAGACTTTTCTTTTGTATCATTTCAGGCTGTCAGCAGAAACCATAAAATTTACGATCTTTCGACTCTTTCACCAAAACTATATTCTAATAAGAGCCCCTTATTTCTAATTTTGAGAGCACCCTGGGCGCTTATTACGTGGAATACGGTATGTTGTTTAAGCCTGCTTGTCAAAGGATTTCAGTCCTACCACTGCCATGGCTGAATAAGGGAGGAAGCCCCAGGTCGCTGGCGTTTACCATAGTGAAACCCATGGGCACTGGGGAAGGGTGCTAACTGTATTTTCACATGATACAAACTAAACAATGGAAAATACATGTTATTAACAAATCACCACAAACACTATATTGATTTCTAACTGAATTATCAAAAATCCTTTCCCAAATGTTCATGATCCTGTAAGTAATATCGATCATTAGATGTTTGAGCTAACTAAAAGGTTAGTAAATGTTGAATTTTAGACAGGATATCATGCAATGAAGTAGTATAGAAAGAATAAGTAAGAAATCTTACGTACTTGACAATTCTCCTTGATCCATTGGCTCATATAATTCTTGTTCCTGAACAAAACAAAGTACCGTATGGAAGTGTGCTAGAGCCATGTGAAAACATCGTTCATCTCCTCCATAGGAGAAAAAACACAAACTATGTTGGACTTTTATCGTGCAATCGAATCGTATCGTATGATAGAAATTAACTTCTGTGTGGTCCATATTCCCTTTAGCCTCAGTAAATCATTGACAATTACATTGTAGTCCCTATAGCTGTAATGAATTGTGGCAAAAGAAGAGGACACAGTCGGCCTAAGATTGCCTCTACTAGATTAAAAATTCCTTCGTAGAGAAACAAAGTTCTATGTTGGAGAAAAATTCCAATGGAGGAGATAAAAGGTCATAAATAGGCGATTAGAAGTGCCACATAGCTGTTTCACTCCTAGAGATATGCATTTCTTTTTGCATGTGGCACTAGGACCCTCCTGTATAAGTTATATGCTATTTTGATTACAAATTAGAGTTATTACTGGGGAACATATAGTACCAGTACATATATCTTTCTTTATCAACTTTATCAAATAAATAAACAATGAAATAGTATATTAAGGTGTTTTGAGTACAAGACAACAACATTAAGTGAAGGATAAAACAATATATTGTGGTACTCACTTGTTGTGGAACCTGAGGGGGAGGCCTGCCACCTGTCCGGCCACCTACACAGTACAGAGAACAATGAGCATCAGTTTCCCATGTTTCCATAGACAAGAAGGAACCATAAACCTATAGCTTTAAATCTAGACATCCATGGAAAGAAGAAACAAATGACAAGACCATTGCCTACACCATGGCCATGACAGCTGTACAGAATCACCGAGGGTGACAACCACTTCATCTGACACTGGAACATAATCATAGGTTCCAGTGACAACATCAGATGTGTTTTGTCCATGTGAGCCAAGCATACAAAAGGTAAGAGAATGTACAATTGACCGTATACATGTTCGTGATTTTGTCAACTAACACAATGTCCACACCAGTCCAGACACATTTGTTCTAAGATCAAACTGACTGGCTGACTTATCAAGCAAGCTTTACATTGTATGTGTTGATACATTCAGATATAAAATAACAAATGTTCTAATTTTGAAGATATCAACACTTAATGTTAGCAGTGGACAAGATGGCTGCAGTCTAAACAATCAGACCAGTAACAAAAATATAAGTGTGGATCTTTCAGAATTACCAGTGTGATGCTACACATCAAAATATTAATCCTATGATGTCTCACTAATTACAAACCTCAGTCATGCATTACAGTTTACATGGCAGTAATACTGACACAAACCACCAATTCTTGTGCCTCTCAAACTGACATTTGCATCATTGTACTGAAGCCGTGATCAATATTTATATGTAACAGTGAAAAGACTTCCACCTGTATCCCCCGTCCAAATGTTATACATGTATATATATGCATTGCCGCTGAATCCATTAACTTGTATATATGTTTGAGGGGGCCCGGGATACAGACGGAAGTCTGACCAACTGATGTAGACAGCCAGTACCTCAAGACGACTACATAAAGTCAGCACACAAGAGGGGGCAGTACCTGACTTGCTTGGCGGGGGCAAAGGTGGCCGGTCATCCTGAAATGACAAAGATACGTCATCAGTTACCCTGTGTCATCCCTACGATGGGGAAATAAGGACAAGTCATCACATCCCCCAGACATGGAATGTTTCAACTTTTGCATGTAGCTCTATGAATCTGTGGATATCAATGTCAACAAAAGATGGTGCATATATTATTTCTGAAAATATACTTTCAAAATGTCAAACATTAAATTTCATGAGTTCCTGTTAATTTATCACAATCCCATCCAAATTTGTCAAGTTTCCTCAATGATATTGTGTTTTAAACATTTACACCAACTGACATACATGTTCTTATTACAGGATCATTTGACAAAATGTTTAGTTTTTGTGGACAGATGAATCTCAACAAGCTTTCATGTAATACATGTTTCTGTCAATGCACTGCAGAATCCAATATGATCAGCTGTATGAAGCAATACGATGGCAACCGCTACCCAGTAAGTACTATTAAACCACTAAATGTGTGTGTTCTGATTTTCTAACAAGGTTTGTATCAAATTGTGTAGCAGAAGTGAGTTTCGCTGAATAAGATGACATGGCTATGAGTGTGAATTTGGTTATTGATGATTTGGTGATAATCAAGTAGTGTGTTTTTATCTTACACCAAGAAGTATGGCCATTAGGTGGAGGTCACATCACAGACTTGTTTAGTTAACAGTGTTATCACTATCCCCCACCTTGGCACGAATAAGAATTTTGTTTGTGTATATATTAGTGAATATAAACCATAAAATAAGTCCTATAAAGCCTTAAAAAGAGATAGCCACTTGGGCTGCTTCATGTCATCAGAATATTGATTAAATGTGTAATTAATACACACAAAAGGCCCATTCTCTTGAAAAATAACACAGTTTTGATAAGTATCTCTTAGATAAGCTAACTTCAGTAGTTTCTGAGAAAAGTAGTCCCCATTGCACACTAATTAAAATAACATGGATCAAGGGCCATAACTCTAAAACAAATTTACGGGGCCAATTTTCTTAATTTCAGTAGTTACTGAGAAAACTTGACCACAATTTCACACAGTATGCACTCAGTTGAAAAGCATATAGAAGGGCCATAACTCTGTAAAAAATTAATGTAGCACCAATTTTTTAACTCATTTGAGATCATGACCAGTAACATCAATGTGTAAAATTTCATTTCTCAAACTTGAATAGTTTTTGAGAAAATTTGCCACTTTGAGAAGCAGACGACCTGTGGATGGACGGACAGACGGACGGACACGCTCTGTTTCTATATCCCCCGCCCTACTTCATGGTGGCGGATCATAACTAACTGCTCATATTAATATAATACTAACTACGCTATATGCACTTTTCTTTTCAGGTGACACAATCGCATAAAATCTGTGACTGCTACAAATGTACAGGATGATAGTTCTGCTTCCAGTTGGGTTACTCACAGTAATGAATCATAAATGGAAATAATAAAAACTGCTGGTCTGACAGTGTGCATGTATGGTCATTTGCCAGTTAAGATTATAGCATCTGATTTGATCATTCTTAAAATTATTACTTATGTATATGAAAATGACATAGTAACAGAATTTAAAAGGATTGTATGTGATCATGTTTGTGTTGACAATGCCACAGCAGCTGAATCTCTACCATTCCCTGAAGGAACCATGTCACTCTTACTGTAGGGACTGTTGGGACTGGTGGCAACTGACGACTTTTCTTCCGTGTTTTCTCTTCTTTTTTGTTCACGACAAGCTCCTCCTCAGGCTCCTCATACACATCCTACAATGAGACAAACACCTCACCAGTGACTACACATCCTACAATGAGACAAACACCTCACCAGTGACTACACATCCTACAATGAGACAAACACCTCACCAGTGACTACACATCCTACAATGAGACAAACACCTCACCAGTGACTACACATCCTACAATGAGACAAACACCTCACCAGTGACTACACATCCTACAATGAGACAAACACCTCACCAGTGACTACACATCCTACAATGAGACGAACACCTCACTACTGACTACACATCCTACAATGAGACGAACACCTCACTAGTGACTACACATCCTACAATGAGACGAACACCTCACTAGTGACTACACATCCTACAATGAGACAAACACCTCACCAGTTACTACACATCCTACAATGAGACAAACACCTCACCAGTGACACAAACGACTCACCAGTGACTACACATCCTACAATGAGACAAACACCTCACTAGTGACTACACATCCTACAATGAGACAAACACCTCACCAGTGACTACACATCCTACAATGAGACGAACACCTCACCAGTGACTACACATCCTACAATGAGACAAACACCTCACCAGTGACTACACATCCTACAATGAGACAAACACCTCACCAGTGACTACACATCCTACAATGAGACAAACACCTCACCAGTGACTACACATCCTACAATGAGACAAACACCTCACCAGTGACTACACATCCTACAATGAGACAAACACCTCACCAGTGACTACACATCCTACAATGAGACAAACACCTCACCAGTGACTACACATCCTACAATGAGACAAACACCTCACTAGTGACTACACATCCTACAATGAGACAAACACCTCACCAGTGACTACACATCCTACAATGAGACAAACACCTCACCAGTGACACAAACGACTCACCAGTGACTACACATCCTACAAAGAGACGAACACCTCACCAGTGACTACACATCCTACAATGAGATAAACACCTCACCAGTGACACAAACACCTCACCAGTGACACAAACGACTCACCAGTGACTACACATCCTACAATGAGACGAACACCTCACCAGTGACTACACATCCTACAATGAGATAAACACCTCACCAGTGACACAAACACCTCACCAGTGACACAAACGACTCACCAGTGACTACACATCCTACAATGAGACGAACACCTCACCAGTGACTACACATCCTACAATGAGACAAACACCTCACCAGTGACTACACATCCTACAATGAGACAAACACCTCACCAGTGACTACACATCCTACAATGAGACAAACACCTCACCAGTGACTACACATCCTACAATGAGACGAACACCTCACCAGTGACTACACATCCTACAATGAGACAAACATCTCACCAGTGACTACACATCCTACAATGAGACAAACACCTCACTAGTGACTACACATCCTACAATGAGACAAACACCTCACCAGTGACTACACATCCTACAATGAGACGAACACCTCACCAGTGACTACACATCCTACAATGAGACAAACACCTCACCAGTGACACAAACGACTCACCAGTGACTACACATCCTACAAAGAGACGAACACCTCACCAGTGACTACACATCCTACAATGAGATAAACACCTCACCAGTGACACAAACACCTCACCAGTGACACAAACGACTCACCAGTGACTACACATCCTACAATGAGACGAACACCTCACCAGTGACTACACATCCTACAATGAGACAAACACCTCACCAGTGACACAAACACCTCACCAGTGACACAAACGACTCACCAGTGACTACACATCCTACAATGAGACAAACACCTCACTAGTGACACAAACGACTCACCAGTGACTACACATCCTACAATGAGACAAACACCCCACCAGTGACTACACATCCTACAATGAGACAAACACCTCACCAGTGACTACACATCCTACAATGAGATAAACACCTCACCAGTGACACAAACACCTCACCAGTGACTACACATCCTACAATGAGACGAACACCTCACCAGTGACTACACATCCTACAATGAGACAAACACCTCACCAGTGACTACACATCCTACAATGAGACAAACACCTCACCAGTGACACAAACGACTCACCAGTGACTACACATCCTACAATGAGACAAACACCTCACCAGTGACACAAACGACTCACCAGTGACTACACATCCTACAATGAGACGAACACCTCACCAGTGACTACACATCCTACAATGAGACAAACACCTCACCAGTGACTACACATCCTACAATGAGACAAACACCTAACCAGTGACTACACATCCTACAATGAGACAAACATCTCACCAGTGACTACACATCCTACAATGAGACAAACATCTCACCAGTGACAACACATCCTACAATGAGACAAACATCTCACCAGTGACTACACATCCTACAATGAGACAAACACCTCACCAGTGACTACACATCCTACAATGAGACAAATACCTCACTAGTGACACAAACACATCACAAGTGACACAAACACATCACCAGTGACTACACATCCTACAATGAGACAAACACCTCACCAGTGACTACACATCCTACAATGACACAAATACCTCACCAGTGACACATCACCTCACCAGTGACACAAACACAACACCAGTGACACAAACACATCACTAGTGACACAAACACCTCACCAGTGACACAAACACCTCACCAGTGACACAAACATCTCACCAGTGACTACACATCCTACAATGAGACAAACACCTCACCAGTGACACATCACCAGTGACTACACATCCTACAGTGACACAAACATCTCACCAGTGACACAAACATCTCACCAGTGACTACACATCCTACAGTGACACAAACACCTCACCAGTGACACATCACCAGTGACTACACATCCTACAGTGACACAAACATCTCACCAGTGACACAAACATCTCACCAGTGACTACACATCCTACAGTGACACAAACACCTCACCAGTAACTAACCATCCTGCAGGTGACACAAACATTTCAAACAAGTCATCCAGTGACTTCAAACATTACCTCATATCACTTTAAACCAGCATGGATCCACTTTAAAAAAAGATTTAATTGAAATTCTGTTTGTTTGTTTCGATGTTGTTTAATGCCGCATTCAGCAATATTCCAGCGATATGAAACTACAAATTACTCAGCATGCATTACTGCATGTACTGTTCTGATGGTTAAGTGACTGTTAACACTGTGGTGTCTTACCTCATCATCTGGTGGAGGTGGGGGTGCTGACCTGTGTTTAGGGCGGGGCGGGGCTACTCTCTCAGGTGGTGTTGGTACAGGTTGTTGGCGACGTGAAGGTGTGGGAGGCCCTGGATACAACAATCACACGTGTGTCGTGAATGCGAAAACTGTCATGGTATCCTAGCAACCTCTCCACTGACAGTGTTCTCACAGCCTAACATCATCAAAGGATCATCAATAACATCCATCCAAGTTCCTTAACACCTGTGTCTCAACTGGAGCATGGTCAATACAGGAATTAAAGGTTCTAAACAAGTATTGCAAATAACTTACTCTATGTACAAGGGGCATTCAGCCATTTCATTTCATTTGATGATGGAAATGTTTCAATAACATTACATATAAAGCTTTTTGAGACAAATACATAAATGGTTTTAAGAAAGGTAAGAGAAAAAGAACTAATTCCAACATCAAATTACTCATAAAGATCAAACAGAAACACATAACAAGCCTCATTAAATCAGCTTGTGAGAGAGCAAATGAAATAAAAATGCACAATACAAAACCATTTCTTGCATAGAGTTAACTTTGATGGTTGACTGCATGACATGCTATCTAGAATCAACCAATTCACACAATGCCTAATTGGGCAGCCTGTATGTTCTACTTCACGTGAACAGATGACAGTGACCTTGCCCCTGTAGATATGTCTACCACAGACCAGCCAAGGGATGAGGTTACCTTCAGACAGCGGCTCCACATAGTCCTCATCCGAGCTGTCATCACTGGGGTCTGGTACTGGAAACACATGACACTCATACAGACAACATCCTCCATTGGACATTCAGATTGTGATGAAGAAGTCGACCAAGTCTTTTGTAAGACAAATTAATGTACTGAATGATTCAATAGTTCTCATGTCAAAAACTCATTCAATCTATCACATGTCCCAAACACAACTTAACATCCCCCGTCTTTCTTTCTTAAAGCAAACTGCAGAAGTTGACTTGTGTGCTCACATGTTATAGACCTTGACATTAACCTGACCTTGAAGTCCTTACATGGACAATGTATTATAACAAGGCTAGAGTATACAGTTTCATAAGTAAACCTAAAATCTATAAAACTCTCTAAGTACATCACTGGGGGACCCTCCTACAACAGTTCATCACTGGGGGACCCTCCTACAACAGTACATCACTGGGGGACCCTCCTACAACAGTACATCACTGGGGGACCCTCTTACAACAGTTCATCACTGGGGGACCCTCCTACAACAGTACATCACTGGGGGACCCTCCTACAACAGTACATCACTGGGGGACCCCCCTACAACAGTACATCACTGGGGGACCCTCCTACAAAAGTACATCACTGGGGGACCCTCCTATAACAGTACATCACTGGGGGACCCTCCTACAACAGTACATCACTAGGGGACCCCCCTACAACAGTACATCACTGGGGGACCCTCCTACAACAGTACATCACTGGGGGACCCCCGTACAACAGTACATCACTGGGGGACCCCCCTACAACACTACATCACTTGGGGACCCTCCTCCGTGATGCTGAATTGCAGAAATCGCTTTAAACATGTTGAATCCATATCAATTCCACTTTGATAATTATTTTTCGGAACATTCTGACCATAGATATATCTATCTTGCCCTGAATTCAATATTAAAACTTATTATTGCAGCTAACACTTATATAAAATACATAGCAATAGGAAGAAATCGGGAGGGACAAAGCCCCTTCTTCTTGACAATACATGTATATTAGATATATCCTAGTTTCCCACAAAGGAGCCTGACACTAGTTAATCAGTTAAATCAGTTTTGACTAACACATACAGTGACATTATCCGTTCCATTCTGAGTATCATGCTCCAACCTGTTCCCAACCTTGAAATGACATCGGCTTGTTTGCGACATCATTAAACAACGGCAAAGTGATCTGAGCACATTAATTTCAAATTGTAATATTTGATTAAATATTTAATAATACTAATTCAATACATTATAAGTATTAAAGCCAGACAGAAAAAATAAGAATTTTGGACAGAAAATATTGTAATAAGAGAATGATACACAACTCATCTTCACAGCAGTGCTTTCTGGGAACAAAGTGTCTATAATACATGACTCGACAGTATTTGTTTTTATTGTTTCTATATTGCTATTTTGCCATCAAGTTTGGAATAAACACAGTTGTCAGAATCATCCCAGTCATCTGTTTCAAGTGGGGTTGTTTTCAAGCTGTTGTGATGCTCCTTAGTCCAACTGTTCCAACAGGAAGCAGCACCAAGGCTACAATCGTGTCCAGCACCATCAGCAACCATCATGCAGGCTACAGGAACATGGCTATACTATTTCACAGTCCACCATGGACTCTCCTATGTTGAGCAAGATGGCAGGCGAAACAAAGGTGGACTAGTAGATGAACATGTAAGCCAGACAGACAACTATGGGTTGCAGGTTTGTGTTCCACAACATTATTTGTCCTTACTCTGTGAGTACTGCATTATCAGATCTTTCAGAATGGATTTAGGACACCGAATTTTAAGTTTAACTGACACAGGTTTACAGGGATAAAGAGGTTTCTCTGACTTTTCTTGCCCAAGAAGAGTGTGATGGGCTTGACAGTCTGAAGTCTTCCTGAGTCCATACACTTGCCATCTCAGTCTCAACAGTGAGCACCTAAACATGCACAAACTTTAAAGGATGCTTGCTGGTATAAGTTTGTGTTCACTACACAGCTCAAACTCTCCCAAGTTTTTCTGAGGGTATATGTTAAGAACACTGAGCATCCTTCTCCAATATTAAGCCATGCAGCCATAAGTCATAAGCATACGTCAAATCCCAATATTGCAGTACACAATCAGTTCCCATTTCTCAACAGATCACTTACAGCTTACAACATATAGGATTACACTACTATCTTCTATGTCTTCTGTATCCTGTAACCTTGTTGTGTCACACATACCACATTATCAGCACCTCGCCCTTCACATTGAATGAGGAAGGAAATACCTAAATGTTTATCCTTTTGGTCATTTTGTTTATATACTGAAGTCCTGCTGTGTTCTAAAAGATGATCATATTGTCAATATGTGGTACAGCTCATAACACAATGCAATACATTCAATGATAAAGTTATTCATGGAAGTAAGGATAAGATATATGGAGGAACAACTTCTTTATGACAATTAGGTGTGACATTTTGGTGTAGTTTGTAACACCGTTAACAACGAAGCGTCAGAACCTACACTTAAACAACGCTCCTAATTGTAACAAAGAAGTTGTTCATCCAGATATCTTATCCTTGCTTAGTCAACTTCTGAATGCCTCTCAAAGAAGTCCTAATTCATACAACTTCTCTTAATGCCTCCATAGTCAAGTTTGTATTTGGCTTGTATTATGTAACAATATTCATGTAGAGCAAAAGAATGCACAGTCACACAAATATTGTTGTCTTTTGTACTGTTAGATTCAGCTGTTCAGACTTTAGATAATAAACCTCAGGTAACTTAACTAAACTTTTCAGTTTCATGCAAATCCAAGTCCTATTATGGCTATATACATCATCACAAAGTTTCAGCCATCTGGACCTTCTGGTTTCTGACAAGTAGTTTTTTAAGGAGTTTCAAAGGAATTTTCAATTTTTAGGATTTCAAAAAGATTTCTGCTTTTACTGGCATGAACAAATGTGAGTCCAATTGTCTTGCTACACATTGTATCAATGTTTCAGATTCCTAGACATTGTGGTTTCTTAGACTAAGATTCTTTAAACACTAAAGTTTGATTTTAATGCCATGAACAAATCTGTCAGATTATGAAGTTGGAGATCCCCCTTAAGTGTCCCGCTCATCTCATGAGCTGTGTCTGAGAAGAAGTAAACTGACAGAGGGCAGGCAGACAACACACGTCATGCCATGAGCTCCTGATGACCACAGAAAGGGTCCTACATTTAATATGCACCAGCAGACATCCTTTATTTCTGTTTCCATATACAGCCCTGAGCATGCAAACTACCAACTCCATCACAAGGGACATAGTTCTGTGGATTTACCACCTACTATATTACAATGAATGTGACATTTTGGTGTAGATACTGTTATCAAGAAAGCAACTAAAAGAGAGGTCATCCACCGTCTTCATGGAGTTGTGGCAATTACAGCCATCAACAAACTCACCAACTGAGAGAATGTTGACTCCTCCAACCACCTCACCTTCCTCATGAGATGCAGAAACAGCCATCACCTGCTATCTCCACCGAAACTGTATTCACTGTAAGAAGTTGTATGTCCATAGAACTATCTCCCCTGTTCATCATACCAACGTTGTCAAGGGATTGTAAACACATGGAAAGACCAACATGAAGTAAATATTCAGTTGTAATCCCTTCTTTCAAGTTTCACAATTCCTAGCTGTAGAAGATAAAGACAATGCGTCTGATGCACTCTCTGAAGAATACATGTATATTAGTGGTAGTATTGACATTGTAAACCAGGCTTTACAGTTTAATAACAACATTCAGATAGGAGGAAAGTCCATATTTTATCTGACTTGGTATTGTCAAGGAGTTACATTTGTTGGTGATCTTTTTGATGAAACAGGTGAATATATTCTTATGACTCTTTTATTGATAGATATGGAATAACAAACAAACTTAAAGAGTATGCCTAGTGTCTCTTTTCAACCTATTTTGCCATACAATGTTTCACTACTCACAAGGTGTAATAAAGGCAGTTAACTCTTCTATAACACACTCTTACAACCAGCTTTTATAAAATGTCACGGAGAACTTAAGTGGGAAGAAACTTTTCAGAATGTATTTACTGATGAACAGTGGGTGGGATTTAATTTGATGGCAACAAGGTGTACCCAGAGTGTAGAACTGAGATGGTTTCAGTTTAGGATTATCCACTACATATTACCTTTACATAAATACTAACATAGTATTGGTTATAAAGATTCACCAAGTTGCAACTTCTGTGGTATATATAGTGAAACTATTGGACATGCATTTTATGATTGTGAATATGTTGCTCACATGTGGGAGCTTGTTCTCAACTGGTTAACGACATCTGTGGAAGGAAGACTTGATTTCTGTAAAGAGAATATTTTATTTGGATTTAAGGGGAAGAATAACAACTCTCTCAATGTATTTATATTAATTTTACAAACTTATTGTGTTTAAACAATCACCGAAGGGTTTTCAGCTAAAGTTGAAATATATTCAACGTGAAGTTATTAGATACTACAATATGACCAAATTAATTGCATTCTCAAATTGGTATTATATAGCTTTCTTTCAGTTCTGGTCTTTCTTCCACAGACTTTTCAATCCTAGCAAAGAATATTAGTATGATATATTTTATGATTGTCTATATTTGCAATATGTTTTGAATGTTTGATGTATAAAGGAGTGGATTTTCAATAATGTATAATTGTTGAAATGTTACACATTGTATTTTATTTGAAATGTCAATAAAGATTTAAATAATTTATTTTTTTTAAATCACAAAAAAAACCTATAAAAAAACCACACTTTAATCTGGACCTGACAATCTAGTGAGTGACATTGTGAGCAGCGATTCACACCATCAGGTAAGTCGCTGAGCCTGACCAATTGATACACTTGGTTGCCTTTTGGGACCCCTTGTAACCCTGAAACTCCACAGGGAAATCCACATAACAATGGTGCATTCAAGGTGAAGAGGGTTGGATGCCATCAGTGGACTTGACCTTGGTGGATTGCCCCAGTGGTTGCCTGTCTGTACTGACCATATCAGTGCAAGTACTACATCTGCTAACATTTACCTGTACACCTGACCAATCAACCAGTCATCATAACATGTATGCGTGTACAGCTACAAGATTGATGGTCATGGTAAAAAAACACATGCCTAAACAAAGCAATGCTATGCCAGGCTGTCTACAGCAAATATTTGACCACACACATGCAACACAACAGACCGGAGCACCAGTTACACAGTAATGTCAGTCAAGTTTCAAGAAACAAGTACTCCCAGTAGCATAACAGAATATCTGCCTATCACTTACCAAAACAATCTGAATTCTCCTGAAAAGTGAAACATGTCTCTAGTTTCAAGATCTAAAACAATGTAAGGTAATGATTCTGAGTAATTTAACATCTTAGTTGCAAATTGAAGAAGGGAGATCCTTACTAGGACAAAGTCAGCATAGTCAAAGATGGGCAATCCTTCATTTAGGTCAAGTTAAAGAAGGGAGATCCTTCATTTAGGTCAAGTTAAAGAAGGGAGATCCTTCATTTAGCTCAAGTTAAAGAAGGGAGATCCTTCATTTAGGTTAACTTGAAGAAGGGAGATCCCCTATTTAGGACAAGGATGAAGAATGGAGATCCCCTATATAGGACAAGGATGAAGAAGGGAGATCCCCCTTTTAGGACCAGATGAAGAAAGGAGATCCCCTATTTAGGACAAGGATGAAGAAGGGAGATCTACCATGTAGGACAAGGATGAAGAAGGGAGATCCTTCATTTAGGTCAAGTTAAAGAAGGGAGATCCTTCATTTAGGTTAACTTGAAGAAGGGAGATCCCCTATTTAGGTCAAGGATGAAGAATGTAGATCCCCTTTTTAGGACAAGGATGAAGAAGGGAGATCCCCCATTTAGGACCAGATGAAGAAAGGAGATCCCCTATTTAGGATAAGGATGAAGAAGGGAGATCTACCATGTAGGACAAGGATGAAGAAGGGAGATCCCCTATTTAGGACAAGGATGAAGAAGGGAGATCCCCATATAGGACAAGGATGAAGAAGGGAGATCCCCTATTTAGGACAAGGATGAAGAAGGGAGATCTACCATGTAGGACAAGGATGAAGAAGGGAGATCCTTCATTTAGGTCAAGTTAAAGAAGGGAGATCCTTCATTTAGGTTAACTTGAAGAAGGGAGATCCCCTATTTAGGTCAAGGATGAAGAATGTAGATCCCCTTTTTAGGACAAGGATGAAGAAGGGAGATCCCCCATTTAGGACCAGATGAAGAAAGGAGATCCCCTATTTAGGATAAGGATGAAGAAGGGAGATCTACCATGTAGGACAAGGATGAAGAAGGGAGATCCCCTATTTAGGACAAGGATGAAGAAGGGAGATCCCCATATAGGACAAGGATGAAGAAGGGAGATCCCCTATTTAGGACAAGGATGAAGAAGGGAGATCTACCATGTAGGACAAGGATGAAGAAGGGAGATTCCCTATTTAGGACAAGGATGAAGAAGGGAGATCCCCCATTTAGGACAAGGAAGAAGAAGGGAGATCCCCTATTTAGGACAAGGATGAAGAAGGGAGATCTACCATGTAGGACAAGGATTAAGAAGGGAGATCCCCTATTTAGGACAAGGATTAAGAAGGGAGATCCCCTATTTAGGACAAGGACGAAGAAGCACAATCTTTCACTGAACCCAAATGTCAGACTTTTCCAGCAACATCTGAACAATCCAATCACAAATATTTAATCAATAATTCTTTTTTTTTCATAGGCATTGACTCTGAAATCTTTATCTTATGTTTAAATATGTATCTCCTACATAGAAGTGAGTGAGTGAGTGAGTGAGTTGGGTTTAACGCCGCTTTTAACAGTATTCCAGTTATATCGCGGCGTGTCAGCTTAATGTGGGAGGAAAGCCCGAAGTGATGCAGGTCTCAGACGTTTACCACTTCGGTGAAACCCACGAGCACGGGTATGGTGCTGACAAACCTAGAAACATAATGGGGGCGAACCGGGATTCGAACCCACAATCATAGGTTTCTGGCATGCCCAAGGGACGCAACTCTGCACAGCGAATTGCGGCGCCTTAGACGACTGGGCCACCCGTGCCCCCATCCTACATAGAAGTGACACAAATCTCATATATAACTTGATTGAGTCTATCAAAAAATATTCTGTATATAATGTGAAATGTTGAGTTCCTTCCATATCATGGCTGGAGTGTTCCTGATTTGAGACATGTTCAAGATCAGCAGTCAAAGCCTAACTAGCATGTACTGTGAAACACACATCATCCACATGAATATGACTGCTAACAAGTAAGGGTTTGTAAATTGATCCTAGAAATATGTATGATTATCCAAGCTTTTCAAAGAAATTTATGATTACTTTCAATCTTGATACATGTATAAATGTTACATGAATAAACAAGCTTGTTTGGGTGGTTGGGTTATGTGTTGGTTGGGTGGTTGGGTTGTGTGTTGGTTGGGTGGTTGGGTTGTGTGTTGGTTGGGTGGTTGGGTTGTGTGTTGGTTGGGTGGTTGGGTGGTTGGGTTGTGTGTTGGTCGGGTGGTTGGGTTGTGTGTTGGTTGGGGGTAGGGTGGGGTTGTGTATTGGTTGTTTGGGTTGTGTGTTGGTTTGGATGGTTGGGTGGTGTGTTGGTTGGGTGGTTGGGTTGTGTGTTGAATGTGTGTTTGGATTGTGTGTTTGTTTTAATGGCTGGGTGGTATGTTGGTTGAGTGGTTGGGTTGTGTGTTGGTTGTGTGTTTGGGTTTGTTGGTTGGGTTGTTTGTTAGGTGGTTGGGCTGTGTGTTGGTTGGGTGGTTGGCTGGTTGGGTTGTGTGTTAGTTGAGTGGTTGGGTTGTGTGTTGGTTGGGTTGTGTTTTGGTTGGATGGTTGGGTTGTGTGTTGGTTGAGTGTTTGGGTTGTGTGTTGGTTGAGTGGTTGGGTTGTGTGTTGGTTGGGTGGTTGGGTTGTGTATTGGTTGGGGCGCTTGGGTTGTGTGTTTGTTGAGTGTTTGGGTTGTGTGTTTGTTGAGTGGTTGGGTTGTGTGTTGGTTGGGTGGTTGGGTTGTGGGTTGGGTGAGTGGTTGGGTTTCGTGTTAGGTGAGTGGTTGGGTTGTGTGTTGGTTGAGTGGTTGGGTTGTATGTTGGGTGAGTGGTTGGGTTGTGTGTTGGGTGAGTGGTTGGGTTGTTGGTTGGTTGTATGGTTGGGTTGTGTGTTGGGTTGTGTGTTGGTTGGGTGGTTTGGTTGTGTGTTGGGTGAATGGTTGGGTTGTGTGTTGAGTGAGTGGTTGGGTTGTGTGTTTGGTGAGTGGTTTGGTTGTTGGTTGGTTGTATGGTTGGGTTGTGTGTTGGGTGAGTGGTTGGGTTGTGTGTTGGTTGGGTGGTTGGGTTGTGTGTTTGGTGAATGGTTGGGTTGTGTGTTTGGTGAGTGGTTTGGTTGTTGGTTGGTTGTATGGTTGGGTTGTGTGTTGGGTGAGTGGTTGGGTTGTGTGTTGGTTGGGTGGTTGGGTCGTGTGTTTGGTGAATGGTTGGGTTGTGTGTTGGGTGAGTGGTTGGGTTGTGTGTTGGTTGGGTAGTGTGTGTGTGTTGGTTGGTTGAGTGGTTGTGTTGTGTGTTGGTTGAATGGTTGGGTTGTGTGTTGGGTGAGTGGTTGTGTTGTGTGTTGGGTGAGTGGTTGTGTTGTGTGTTGGGTGAGTGGTTGTGTTGTGTGTTGGTTGTGTGTTTGGGTTGTGTGTTGGGTGAGTGGTTTGGTTGTGTGTTGGTTGAGTGGTTGGGTTGTGTGTTGGGTGAGTGGTTGGGTTGTGTGTTGGTTGGGTAGTGTGTGTGTGTTGGTTGGTTGAGTGGTTGTGTTGTGTGTTGGTTGAATGGTTGGGTTGTGTGTTGGGTGAGTGGTTGTGTTGTGTGTTGGGTGAGTGGTTGTGTTGTGTGTTGGGTGAGTGGTTGTGTTGTGTGTTGGTTGTGTGTTTGGGTTGTGTGTTGGGTGAGTGGTTTGGTTGTGTGTTGGTTGAGTGGTTGGGTTGTGTGTTGGGTGAGTGGTTGGATTGTGTGTTGGTTGGGTAGTGTGTGTGTTGGTTGGTGGAGTGGTTGGGTTGTGTGTTGGGTGAGTGGTTGGGTTTTGTGTGTGTTGGTTGGGTGGTTGGGTTGTGTGATGGTGGTGCGGGAAGAGATACTTTTGGTGTTCTCCTTTGAGTGACAGTAATGGCTACTATTATTGGTGCTTGTAAACAAACTGTTGCCTGGCTTTCTTCAGTGTTAACCAGTATGGGTAGGGGAGATAGGGAGACACGGCGGGTAAGAGTCCACAGGACATTGGCAGGTAGTTCATAATTTTGATTCAGAGTTATTGGTATTTGGTACGAAGCCAAACAAGTGACAACTAAGAGAACAATTCCAACAGCACTTGTGTTTGTTTCACAGATGTGTTTTTCCTACATTTTTACAAAAGTTAAATAAAATAAGTTTAACTGAAAATCCAGCATTATGGACAGCATTATTTTTCCTTTCAGCAAATCATATAGCTATAGCTGGTCATTTTGTCCAAGAAAATCCATTGCACCAGAAACAAAACTCTTCTGGTCATATGCTCAAACACAAATATTTCTGTCAGCACATATGTTTCAGGTTTCAGTGGATTCACAGACAGGAATGTTTTGTGTCAAGATTCTTTGAACCAGCATCAATGAATCTCTGTGAACGCAGTCAGTACATACAGAGGCAGGAGGGAGTGGTATAGGGATAGGGGACTAACATAGCATAGAAAACATGACAACCTGGGTCTCTTTTAGAACCTTTCAGGGTTCCTCTTCGTGAAAGCTCTGCCTGTAGTTTCTCCAGAATTGTGCCACTGCGACTTAAATGTGTTGGGGAATTTGCTGGTTCTTCATAATCCTGATGTCAACAACACTCACATATAAGCAAGACGTAAAACCACAATGCCGCATTCTAACCGAGATAAAAAGGTCACCATTTGTTCAGGTTTTCCCAAGTAAACCATAAAACAATATGCAGATTTAGCAAGGAAAGTCAGGAGAACTGCTGATGTGTGATGTTTGTACCTGATCGTTGATATATTACATACGGGTATAGGTGAAAGTGAATCAGAATGTTGTTTTAATAATACTGTGAGCAGGATAACCCTTGCAGAGATACAAAGGTCCAAGCAGAGATGCCCCATCAGTTCATTGAATGTCTGTATGTAACTGTCAAACAACAGTTCCCTCAATGTCTGTATGTAACTGTCAGTTCATTGAATGTCTGTATGTAACTGTCAAACAACAGTTCCCTCAATGTCTGTATGTAACTGTCAGTTCATTGAATGTCTGTATGTAACTGTCAAACAACAGTTCCCTGAATGTCTGTATGTAACTGTCAGTCCATTGAATGTCTGTATGTAACTGTCAAACAACAGTTCATTGAATGTCTGTATGCAACTGTCAAACAACAGTTCCCTGAATGCCTGTAGGTAACTGTCAGTTCAACAGTTCCCTAAATATCTGTATGTAACTGTCAAACAAAGTTCATTGAGTGTCTGTATTTAACTGTCAAACAGTTCATTGAATGTCTCTTTGAACTGTCAAACAACAGTTCATTAAATGTCTGTTAGTAACTGTCAAATAACAGTTCCTGGAATGTATGTTTGTAACTGTCAAACAACTGTTTTATGTTACTGTCAAACAAAATGTTTTACGTTACTGTCGAAAACCAATTCCCCAAATGCATTAGGCCATGGTACCTTTTTATCTCAGTTTTCAACACACAAAAGTGAAAAAGATGCCAAAGCAATAATAAACACAATATAAAATAATATTAAAATGCAAACTAAAATAAACATCAAGTCATTTTAGTGAAACTATTTCTAATATATCATCATAATAGTGTAAAAAGCAAGAAATGTTTTACTTTACTTGCAGAATGAAATATCAAAGTTTTAACTATTTTGGTAACACATTGAACAAATACTTTTTGCTTCTTAAAAGATTTTGTTCTTTGATTCTTGATAGCTTATAATTCTCTAGAATAAATATTCATGGTTTGCTTGTTTGTATTTTAATGACGGTCAGTACATAATTCAGTGATTGATATCATAAGCACCGATCCACACAATTGGGATACAATGACATGCATCATCCACCAAGTCAGTGAGCCTGACCACCTCATCCCGTTATACTCTTATGACAAGCACAGTTGCCTCTGTCAACAAGCATGGGTTGCTGAAGACATATTCTGACCCGGATCTTCAGGGGTCTAAAATATTCATGGTGTTAATGAACCTCTAAATTCAATTTTTTGTCAATTCTTATGGGTGGTTGATCTGTAAGAAAAAGAATAGAAAAGGATGGCATGTGCTGAGGACGGACATTGTGACCCAGTCAGACAGATGACATGATCTACACATCCCACAAGGCAATATAGGTAAAACCAAACAACAACCATGAACAACTATTCCTTGCTTAACATTTCTATAAATGTACTCCAATATAAATAATGTATAAATAATGAGATCTATACAAATGTTAGTCCATTAAACTAAAAAGCAGCTGATTGAAAATGATACACTAATATCATGGTATGAATATAATTACATAAAATTAAAAAGAAAATATCCAAGATGTTAATCCTTGTGTTATCAAGCCACTGGGAGCAAGGCATATGCAAGGCATAAAGAGTTATAAAGAAACAGGTCAAAGATGGTGAGGCATGCATCAGGTGCATATAGCAGGCAATCTGCATCAATGTAAAGGAATACATTTGTCACATTCAAACAAACTTTAAATCAGGTTCTAAACACATAAAAACAAAAAATATTTCCCCATGCTGAATGTAAATTGTATACGCTATTCTATTAACTTTGCCATTATAATAACATCATCATAAACAAGAGCATCTATCCATCATCATCATCATCATCATCATCATCATCAGAATGAGTCATCTTCTGGGTGCCACAACCCATACAATAACCAACAACATGTTCACCTTATCTGTGTACATGCATAACTAGGATTTCCTGATACCGTACAGATTCAAGCACACATAATTAAATAATTAACTATGCTAGAATATGAAAAATGGTTATTCCAGTATATGTCATCAATGTCAAAGGTTATTCTTTGAGACAGAAAGTCTCATATAATCTTTTCTTTAGCTGTGAAATCATTGTGTATAGCTTAAAGTTAAAAAAAATGGAGAAAAAAATAACAAAGTAGTTAATATCACGTTAACCGTCACATGACTCTCACATCAAACTCCACTCAGGTCATGTGACCAACTTCTTCCGGGAAAACTACTACGCAGAATCCTAAACATTGTACACGTCAGCTGGTATTTCAAATACGTTTCTCAGGTATCGGAATCATGTCGTCGCAATACAATATCAGGTAAGTTGAAATGGTGCATATGTGCAGCATGTGGCAGTGACTGCATGGGGGAACTCACGACTCCCTGCACGTCACAGGCAGCAGTCACCAGGGCAACAGTCTTTATAGCAGCAACTTCACATCTGTCCTTTACTTCATAAAGTTAACAATTCAAAAATCACCCTATAAAAAGAATTCATTTGACCAAAGACAATATATTTAAATATATCTTTTGACTATCCATCATTCAAAATGGAAACATTCATTTCAGAATATAAATATCAAAAAGTTATTCCATCATAAAGCCCTACCTAATATGAAGTACCGTGGCAACGATCTAGATCCAGGAGTCTCTAAGAATCTCTTGTAATTCCTTGACCGACACTTAAATCCATTTTCATAAACCGATTCCGGCAAGTGAAACTGAAGCGGGCGTGAGAGCACCCGAGACAGTGTGTTACCAGTAAGCCACAACCTCTTATGTTCTAACATCACTGAACACTGAGCAGCCTCCTCCTCCGAAGGACACTAGCAAATGAGGGGATCATGATGTGCTGGGAGGAAATAAATACACACACCTGAAAAAAGTAGGTGAACATTTCCCAAGGTTTCAAAACAACTTAAATTCGTGGAACATTGCTGCAATTATAACGGCAGCTTGTGTATAAAAAGCCATTAGGCTGATGAGAATTGTCCCCAGTAAGGCAGGTTGTGCATTACAACAAATTATTTCATTCTAGCAATGATGGGAAAAGTCATTTGGATTGGCCACTTTCACACAGAAACATACCACAACACTTCAATGTATTTTCAGGGTGCAAGGACACCAGCTTCCCATAGCAAAAGGCCGAAAACCTTTGAGCTTCGGGGCAAAGATAAAGTGCGGGAGTGTGCAACACATGAAATGCACATTTTCTCAGGGCTGGGTTTGGAAAACAACGAGGCCAAAACTGTGATGATGTAATTCTTTGGTTTTATGGTAACCTTTTATAAGAATAGCAGAAAAGTCATAAGTTCATGTTTTTAATAATATTCTTCTTCCTAACACTCTTTATTTCTTTTTAATTGCTGAATCTGTTTAATTATTCCTTTCCTTTCCACTTATCCACAGATTGAAATTAGTGACAGCAAATCTTGGTATGGAGTGAAGCTTCTTGTATTTTCTTGGAGAATAAGGGGAGACAACTCTTACGTGATCAAGATGGGAATGATAATAAAATAAATCTGTAATTAAGAAGATTAAAGTGGTTCTTATTTCTTTCTGTAATCACCTTTTATTCTGAAGATAATTAATCTTAAACTTACAAATCACTCTGTTCAAAAGCATTATTTCCATGAATCTTTTTTGAAAATACTCCATCCTAATGTGTAGTAAAATGCAATTATAATTTATTTCAGGAGTCCAAAATCTCTCGTTTGCATGATGAATGAAGCTAGTGAAACTGACATATCTGGGAACAAGCACCAGTTGTTATCTCATGTGAAGTAATTTTCTACAGGGCCGAATTGTGTGGGATGAAACACCCCTTTCCAGCAAGTGAACTGTCCTAGCCCTGATCCATCTGTTAGCTACTGGACTTGTCTATTGTGAAGAGTGGGTGTTGTGTTGGAACATTTATTTTGGCAAAGATCTATAATGGAGAGTGGCAATTATTCAAAAATGCTCTTCTCTTATCAAACAGTGTATTTATTTTCTACAGCCATAAGTTTGTTCAACATTTCTAAGAAATATCTCATATTTCTGTTGTAATTTGTATTTTGAATACAACTGAGTTAAAATATATATGTATATATATATGTATGTATATATTACTAAAAAAGTACTATACAATGACTATGTGCATATCTCAGCAAGAAGACCAGGAAGCAAGCTAAACGATATGATCATGATTCTATATAACTGGAACATATTCTTTAAGGAAAAAAACATTTAACTATAATTTGAAATTACCAGACTTTGTCATTGTACTTTGAACTTTATTAGATAATTCTGGTCATGTGACTAATAGAAAATTCATCGGAAGTGTGTTAAATACGCTGCCTGATGTCACTAGTGCAGGGAGTCGTGTCATGGGTCCACTAATCGTGTGGGAATAGACAGCTTCCCATATAGCCAATATGCCACTTAAAGGACAGATAATTACTACAAAGTGAATTCCATGCTCGTCAATTACACAGGCTGGCTTGCATCTGTAAGTGTCAACGTTGCAGATAATTGCAGCAATATTGAAGTGTTGGATGCCTGCAGGACTGTGTAAACTAATTTGGGTCAGCTACATCTATATTAGGATTACATTATCATCAAAATAAGTACAAATCTGTTACTTGTTTCAAAATGTCAATCAGCTGACAGCAAAATGTCAAAGTACCAGTTTAATATGTTTTAATGAGTTCAAAGTTCATTGCTTTTTTGTTTATCTCAAAATTATGTGGTAATATTGATGATTTGAAGGCATGAAACAATTATGAAATACATTTCAGTTTTGATATAAATCATGAACAATATAGAAGTCAGTGCAGAATCCTGATACT